TTTATATATATGTATATGTATATATATTTTTTAGGTCTTTCCAAAAAGGCACTGCAAATATTCCATGTTGCATTTCTGCGAGTAAACACCCCTGTTTTTATGTCCAGAAATGAGCTGTTTGTAGATTATTTTTGGTTTCGACACAGGCAATTAGAGCCCAGTAAGCCAGTGGTATGGTTTGTGCCTGGGTGTGCCTGCTTAACACAAAACTCAACACATCTGGTTTTGCTTTATCCAAACTGGGCCAGAATTAGCCAGAGAGTATCGCAGGGAGAGCAAGAAAGAGAGAGAGAGCTGAGGAGAGAGAGAGGGATGTTTTCACTCAAACACGTGACCGCAATGAGAAAGAATAGAAAGAGTGGATCTCATTTAGACCCAATCAGATATAAGGCCCATTATGTCTTTTAGATGGATTTATTTGCACTTTATTTTGTGAAAGTTGGATCGAGAACTCTTCTAATAGCTCCATTTTAAAATGAATTTGAATCAGTTACATTCCAACACAAATGTAATATATTAAAATCATGTCACTGAATGGGACCAGTTGAGAACATGAACCAAACATTTTATTTTATTTTTTTGGTTGTTTGTTTGAACATGCATGATGGTGGCTCAACACAACCCAATTCAATAGTTTTTGACTGTTTTGGTTTTGGTACTCATGATGATCCCTCTTTCTCTCTCACAGTGGTATCAGTGGCAGGTGAGCCTGGTCCTCCAGGTGAGCCTGGCCCCGAGGGACCTCAAGGCCCACCTGGCCCCCCAGGTCAGGATGGCGTAGGTTATTCTGGACCTCAAGGGCCCCCTGGACCTCCCGGACAGCCTGGCCGCTCCATCGCTGGCAAACCTGGAACTCCAGGTGGACCTGGCAAACCTGGCATCCCTGGAGCACCTGGTGAGAGGGGAGACACCGGAGCCACTGGCCCTCAGGGACCAAGGGGAGTTCCTGGCTCTCCTGGAAGCCCAGGACCTGCTGGTCTGTCTGCCACTGGCAAACCGGGACCTTCTGGCCTTCCTGGAGCAATGGGACCAAGAGGAGAGCCTGGCTTGAAAGGACATCCAGGTATTCCTGGACTTCCTGGGCCTAAGGGTGATAGAGGGTTTGGAGTTCCTGGACCTCAAGGTGAAACAGGACCTCAGGGACCTATTGGTCCGACTGGAGCAACCGGTGCACCCGGAATCGGAAGGCCAGGCAAACCAGGTGCCAATGGTGAGCCAGGAAAGTCAGGTAGCCCAGGTAGAGATGGTGCCCCCGGCCCCATGGGACCACAGGGACCCAAGGGACACACTGGTGCCCCAGGTGTAGGTCTTCCAGGTAAATCAGGTGAGAATGGTGCCCCCGGTTTGCCTGGCCCTGTTGGGCCTAAGGGTCATCAGGGACCTGCTGGAGCTCCTGGTGCCCCTGGAGTTCCAGGATACGGAAAGCCAGGTGCAAATGGTGAGAAGGGAGAGAGAGGAGCCCCAGGTAGCCCAGGTGCCACAGGTGCAAAGGGAGAGCAGGGCCCAACAGGTTATACTGGGGCTACTGGTGCCACTGGCCCAATGGGTCCAGCTGGACCTCAAGGTGAAAGAGGTTTCCCAGGAGCCACTGGCCCCACTGGTCTTAAAGGTGACACAGGTCCATCTGGACCTCAGGGACCTAAGGGACACAAGGGAGATCAGGGAGCACAGGGTTTCCAAGGCAAGCAGGGTTATCCAGGGGCTGCTGGTCCTCCTGGGCCCAGAGGGGCCACTGGACCTGCAGGGGACAAAGGTAATGTTGGTGCCCCAGGTACCCCAGGTGCTCCAGGTATCCCAGGGCCTGCTGGACCCAAAGGACACACTGGCCGCCCTGGTGAGCCAGGTGCCTCTGGATCTGATGGATCTCCAGGTCCCAGAGGACCTGCTGGACCACAAGGACCCGCTGGTGCTACCGGCTCTAAGGGACACCCAGGTCTCCCCGGACCTCCTGGTCCTGCTGGTTTGGCTGCAAAGGGTGTTTCTGGACCTCAGGGTCCCCCAGGTCAACCCGGTGAGCCCGGAGCTGATGGAGAGCCCGGCCCCTCTGGCCCTCCTGGCCCCCCTGGACCTCCTGGTGAGGTTGTCTTCGAGAAGGGCATGGGACTGAGTGAGGTTATGGTCAAGTCCCCCATGTCTGCATTCACTGCAGTTCTGGCCACTCCCTACCCTGCTGCTGGCACTCCCATCAAGTTTGACCAGATTGTTTACAATGCTGAGAATCACTATGACCCTGAGTCAGGCATCTTCACCTGCCAGGTTCCTGGAGTTTACTACTTCTCCTACAGCATCCATGTCAATGGAGCTCATGCCCTGGTGGCCCTGTACAAGAACGGCCAGCCAATTATGTTCACTTATGATGAGTACAACAAGGGTTTCCTGGACCAGATGTCCGGTAGCGCTGTCCTCTTGCTCGATGAGCAGGACACAGTCTACGTCCAGATCCCTGACGAAGAGGCCAACGGTGTCTTTGCTGCAGAGAATGTCCACTGCTCTTTCTCTGGATTCCTCATTGCCTCTACGTGATACGTTGGCGCAGAAGTTTCCAAAAAGCCAACCAACTAATTTTGCAATCTATTTCTCAAAGTAAAACTCCCTGTTCATTTACCGCAACCCAACAGACAGGCAGTGCAACCTTCCTGAGGAATAGTAGCATCTTAACTTGAAAACTACAAGAAATGGGTGCTAAAAAGAAGGAAAACTAATTTATGAAAACAGTTGATTTAAGGAGGGAGAAAGCAATACACAATGTTCCAGTGATGTTTGTAATGTAAACAGCATGTGAAATCGAGGTGTTATAACTGTGTTGTGTCTAAAAATTTTATTATTTTTTTTCCACACACTGCTCCTTTTATACTGTCTTAAACTGATGTCTTTGAACTTAATGTCTGTCTTCTTTGTTTTTGTACAATCTTGTTTTTTTTTCCTTTGGGCATGAAAGGGAACAACAATTTTATCAAAGTACATTAATTCTTCTCTGTGCAACATGTTTGTGACTAAATGTGACTTGAATATATTGTGAAATATGGTGATCAAATTGACTTTTGTTTCTAAACACAAACTGTTTCAGCAGCAACATTGTTATAACCCTTGACATGCATTGTGTCATGTAAAACGAGACCAAAAATAAATAACGTCTTACTGAATCTTTTGCCTCAGACTCATTTTTAAGGCAGCATTTTTGCTTAATAAACATTATTTATGTCTACTAAACCCTTCAGTAAAACACTATTAATATGGTAAATATGCAGAAAAGTGTAATCATGATGTGCATTTCCCAAAGTGGAAAAACTAGAATCAATTCAGTGAGATCTCAAGATAAGATTCCACAACCAGTGGCAAAGCCTTTCCTTCACTCTGAGGGACCAAACCTCATGTAAAACATCAGAGACCACCACGTGTGAACAACCTGGAAACAGGCATGAGGATGAGATACCGAGCTGTGATTGTTGTGCACTGTTCCTTCACACACACCACTGAGGCCCCTTTAAAGGGTTATTCACCTTGCAACATGTTTTGTTTCACCAAACTTCAATCTTTTAATGACACCAAGCAAGAGTCACAGTTTAGAATCGACTTGTGACGACAGGTTCTTTGCATTGGATCTAATTTAGGTGTAGGATTAGGAGTAAAGGGGGCTAAAAACAAATACACATCATACTTTTGACATTTACATTCGTACATTTACTATGTAACAGCTTTCTTCCACTTTACACTTTTGTGGAATCAGGTATTTGTTTACCACTTTAATCACAGTGAAATACATTGAAGGATTTGGTTTTGATGTAAAAAAAAAATATCGGTTTCAAGTGTGTGAAAACTTTTGCAAGGTATGCAGTGGGTAAATGACCCAGGACAGCTGCTGTGCTTAACAACCTCCTAAAAAGAGAAGGTCATATTTACAATATAATACTCTAAGTGCACATAAAAAAGCTTTGAAGGGAATTATGGGGGCATATAACTGTGAATTTTACTGCTTGTTAAAGATTTCCCAAGTTATCCCTGGCCTTTGTGGTTATTTCTGTTGCCGATGCGTGACGGTTCTTGATTTAGAGCTGTGTGAAGGATCAAAGATCACAAGTGTGCAGCATAAATATGCAGCCTCACCCTGTATGCAGTGGAGTTCCTCTGCATTTCTGTAAGTGATTTAATGAAAGCACAGCAGTGAAAGGCATGTGCATGTCTCATCAAATCTGTTTTTTAAGACACATGATCAATGCACATACAACTGTGCCCAAACAACTTGACTATTAACAGATGTATGCTTTGTTTATATTTATTGTGATATGGCTTAAGCGTGTAAGAAATAGGAGAACATAAACTCTGTTTGATTGGCTTCCTCAAACTACTAGCTCCATCTGAAATATTTTAGAAAACGCTCACCAAGTTAGGTTTTTTAGGCAAAATTCAAAACTGTTCATGCACCAAAAACACATATTAAAACAACACACACAAAAAACTAATGTTATTTGTATTTCTACACAAGCCAAGACGTACGCAACTGTTGAACCAAAGAGAGGAAAAAAGTTAGATCTAATTTTCTCACAGCTGGAACGTATTAATAAGCCAAAGTTGTTTGGTGATTTTGTTCTGTGAGAGAATAAATCAGACTGGGATTTTTCGGGCTTGTGGAAAAGAACACCATACCTACAGTAAAGCGCAGCAGTGGCTTAGTGATGCTTTTGGGTTGTTTTGCTTCCTAACTCTAACTCTGGAGGCCTGCAGTGAGTGGAGGCCTTACATGAATCCAGGATGATTCACTTAAGCATCCCGGAAATCCTGGGAGAAAATGTCCTGCTGCCTGTAAGAAAGCTGAAGCTTGGGATTTATTGGACCGTCAAGGAGAACAACGATCCCAAGCGCATCTCAAAGTCCACATTGTTTCAGAGAAAGTCCTGAAAGACTTAATGGTCAAGCTTTAGGAAGATTTTAAAATAGGTGCTTGTAGGCCACAAATGGATAAATATTGCAGGCCTTTTTCGACAGGGAGTTTGTTATTATTTGTTAGAGGAAGCTGCGACTTGTGTCTGGCTTTGCTTCACATTTGTATCAGGCTATAATCATTAAAAATGTCAATTTACAAAGTGTTATCTATGTTAAATATGTTTGTATGGACAGGTAGAGTAATTTTAAGACGGCAGCGTTCAACAAAAGTTCATTTTTTTGACATTTTAGAAGCGAACGATACAATAAGCGCAAATAAAATCTGAATCCTAATAATGTGCAGACTGGCTTTAAACCTGATCTCAAGGTTTTCGACTCTGTCGCTTAAAGCTTCAAAAAAGCAGCTTTACCATGGAAGTCACAGTGAGTGTTGCCCTAAAAATAGTTTGGGTGTGGAATAAGGGAGCAGGGAAGGTTGTTTGGTAAGGCAGCAGCTGTTTGATCTTTCTTTGGTGAGCGGGCGAGACAGTGGTTAGGTGAGAGGCCCAGGGCAGAGAGAGCGGAGTGGAAGAGCTGCTTTAAAGAGACTGCTGAGGGTTGCCATCCACCGGCTGTGACGCTCAAAGACACCATTGGCTTGGAGGATAAAGACGGACAGACAGAAACATAGATGCACCACTTCCTGTGCTGACCCAATTAACCAAAAGGACGTCTGCTTTCACCTGACATCTCAAAAATATTCATGTGGGTTTTTTTGGTTTTTTTAGAATAAAAGAAGAGAAATAGCAGCTTCCAGGACGGAGGATGATGTATGGGCGTGATGAGATATTTCAGTGGTGAGGCACGCTAGGGGACTAAACCGAGCAACAAATACCTCACCAACTTAACCGAGCTGAACGAGAAAACCAGGAAGCAGAAATAGAAATATTATGTGTAAAGCACGCCCTTCTTGTGGTGGCCAGAGCTGCAACGCACAGAGTAGAGCTGGGTGCAAAGCAAATAGATGGTTCGCAGTGTACATGGACGCAGTTGTGGACTGTGAAAACCACCCTGGAGAACTCAGTGGCAATCTTCTAAACTTTTAAAATAAGTCGGGTGTTTTTACAGGGTTTGAGGTTTGGTAGGAAGAATACCAATGTGTCAATACAGAGCAGTTGCTTGCTGTGAATATAGTTTCTAGCCAACTTCAAATGCCTTCCATACACACTAAGCCCTAATTTTGAAGGTCATTAAACAGAAGCCATACGGCCATTAAACAGAAGCCATTAAAAATAATTTAAACTGTAATCAAGCATAATAGTTTATTAGCCGGTAGAACCCATACACCACACAATAGGATTTCTAAGAGATTGACATTTGTATTATAGTGCTTAAAAATGCCTCAAATTCAACTGCTAACACTTTTTCCTCAACTTAAATTATTAATTTAAATTATCCTTTAATGTGCTTTTCACTTAAAGTATCTAGCTTTGCCTGAGCACAGAGCTAAAACAAAACAAGCAGCTTCTTAACTCTGAGGCAATCGATTAAAAAGCTCATCTTATCTTTGGTTCTTTGGAAGAAAGTTCTTTACTTCCTGCTTTGTTAGGATAGCTTTACAAAAAAGATTTAACGCTGACAAATCGTCAGCGTTAAATCTGACGATTTGTCAGATTTAACGCTGACAGTATAACTGTGACTGTTTTTGTGCCACAAACTGGGCTGAAGGTCAGAGGAGATCGGGCCTTTTCTGTTGTGGCTCTAAGATTGTGAAACAATTTGAATATTAGGCAAGCTTCTTATCTGGTTTTATCTAGGTCTGTCTTAAAAGCACTGGTTTTCAGTGTTTTTTGTTGTTATTTTTTGAAGGTTTTCTTCAGGTCTATTGATCTTTATTGAGCAGTGGTCAGAAAGGAAAGTTGGTTATGAGAGAGAGGGGACGACATGTGGCATAAGGTTTGCCCCTTTACCCCTGCACCACGGCAGCACCCCTTCAGTGGCTTTTGACACGTAAGTTGGTTACTTGTTTTTTGTTTTATAATTCTGTAGTTTCATTTTTGTTTTGTTTTGTTTTGTTTTAGTACATCTTACTCTGTTTTATTATTATTATTATTATTATTATTATTATTATTATTATTATTATTATCTTGGTTTTATCTGTCCCTGCTGTTTGGCACTTTGGGTAAACGTGTGCTTTGGATGTTTTTGAATATCCTTTGTAAAAAAAAAAAAAAAAAAAACGGAGTGGAATACGTTGGAATCTAATCGTGTTCAATGTTCGTGACAATTTTTATTTGTTTTGTTTTGTCTTTTTTATGTGTGTGCTAAAGGTCACTTAGTGACGTTCTTTCAGTGTCACACAATTCTGAAAGCCTGTTTTTAGGTGTGACCTGTGACAGGCAAGACCGCTGTTGGGACCAAAGCCGACTTTGACACCACAGGGATTCAGATGTCCGAAGTTGGTTCCCTGAAAGCATTTTTCTACATTTGCAGATACTGCACAGCTCTTCCACCATTTTTGGAACTTGAGCAGAGACAGTAGTCCTGGGTTTGATTCCCAGTCATAGGCTAATTGATGCTTGTCTTCTCCATCTCATTTCCTGTTCAATAAAATGGTACCTAGTGCCAAAAAATTTGTCCAATTTCATAGAGAATATATACTTTCAAAAATGTTACAAATTCTAACTTGTTAGAATTTTATTCAATTTAGATTTTAATTGCTGCCAATTTAAGTGTTAGCTCTGTAAAATCACATTTCACTTTCACAGTTTAAGTCACTAATTATGAACCAGCAGGTTACTTAATAAAAAAACTTAAAAATTCCAATTAAAACCAAATGTACTTGTGTAGCGACCACATTGACTAGCTTAGAAAAGTCAATAATTGTGTTTGCTTAACTACATTATTAGATTTGAAGCGCAGTTTAAATGTTCAAAATAAAATCTCCCTACAAGTCTTAAGACGTCCACAAGAGGGAGCTGTTGAGTAATGTCCATTCAGGTTGTTGCTCAGGGTGCCCCCCACCCCACATCCCTACTTTATCTGTAGTGCATTATGTGAAAAAAAGCTCACAGTGCCAATTCACACTTCATCGCTTTATTCTTCAGAATTCACAGGAAACAAACTCAACACCTTGTTACCAGTTTTTGCAGGCAATGTTACATTCCATACTGAAAAAATGTGAGCCTCGTTATATACAGAAAGAGAAGCCGGTAGAGAACAGCGTCTAAAATCCTGACTTTGTGTGCTTTTGACTTGTGGATTCAGAGTGGTGTTGTAGTCA